CTGCTTTTTCGAGCATTTTTTAAACATTGAACGCGAATTACAGCCAAACGGATAAAACCACAGTAATATATGAATACTTGCTACATTGCCCAAACATTCAGCTTTCATATTCATATTTTGGATTTATTCTACGCTCTTCTTTCGTAACAATAAAATTGTAATAAAATACACATAACTTTTGTGTAATTAAGAAAACTTATATAAATTTGATTGTTGGGAAAAGAAATGTAAATTGTTTCAAAAATAGTTGTCTTTATTCTAAATGTACAATATTTAACATAACACAATAAAATATATTTATAAATGTGTGCAGTACATGCACCTTCTTTAATTCTACGTCTTTACTGGAATAGGACGACGACGACGACAAAAAATACTGAAACAACTTCCCAATTTTATCCTTAGATCAATCGCAAGAAAGTAACGAAAATCAGATTCTTATTTAATTCCCGGATAGCCCAGCTTCTTGATGCGCAACACCAGATTCTGCACGAACGTGGCCAGAGTGTCTTGCCTCATCTTTCCCACATCCATCACCTCTTCGTGATTGGCCTCCGATTGATTCTCGTAATTTGTGGCGCAGAAATTTGTGATCAGACTGAAAGCGAGAACGGTGAGATCGCAGTGTCTCGCCGTGATCACCTCGTGCACGGTGGACATGCCTACTGCATCCACGCCGACCATCTGGAGCATCTTCAGTTCGGCTACAGTCTCGAAGTTCGGTCCACCTAGACAGGTGTAGACGCCCTCGTGTATGGGACCCAGCTTGAGATCGTCCCAGACCTTCTTGGCCAGCTCGATGAGATCCTTGTCGTAGGCTCGGTTCATCGGAAGGAATCTGGGACCGAAACGCTCGTCGTTGGGACCGTGCAACGGGTTGTTTCCCGAGAATCCCATCAGGTTGATGTGGTCGTTGACTAGCATCACGTCGCCCACTTTGTATTTGGGATTGAGGCCGCCCGCCGCGTTCGTGGCTATCAGATGACTTATTCCGACCAGCTTCATCACTCGCACCGGCATCGAGCACTTCCAGAGTGGGTAACCCTCGTAGTGATGGAAACGACCCTTCATGCACACCACTTCAACGCCCATCAAGTAGCCGAATACCAGCTGCCCGGCGTGCCCTTCAACAGTTGACTCCGGGAAATGCGGGATCTGGTTGTAAGGGAACACCACTTTATCCGTTAAAGCCTCAGCCAACGAACCTAAAACAACAACATAATCAAATTATAACTATCACCAAAATAATTCTAAAACTAAATTTTATATTGCAAAAATACTACTCGCAATCAACAAACATTTCATAACTGAAGTGTTTATATCATATTTACATCTAAAAATACAGAAAGCATGCGGAATACAAACAAATAAAACAGCCTTGAGCAAACTGAACATCACTTGTGCAACAGTACAATGTTTTTTTCTTTCCTTCTGACATCAAGAAAATAAAAATGATTTGAAAAAAAAAAAAAATTCCAACAAATTAATCTCACTTATCGAATCGAAACTTATTATTCATCTCTTTCGATTTCAGCGTGGATCGAAGATTGCGTCAATCAAGCGTTTGACGTCTCTGAAACGAGAAAAACAATGATTGCGTAACCGCGATGTGTGAAACACAAGATTTCTTTTTTGCTGCTGCTGCTGCCGGTGGTGTTTTATGGTGAAAGAGAGAGAGAGAAAAAGAACAGATAAAAAAGCTTGGACATGTACCCTCGTTCCAATACGCACCCATTCCGGACCCGCAAATGATTCCAATTTTCGGCCGGAAAGGCACCCTCTCCAACAGATATTTCGCCGTTTCGGCCAGATGCTCGTAAGTATATCTGCAAATAAAAAAAGTAGTAATAATGAACAAAGAGATTTAGATTGAAAAAGCAATTTAAATACATATTATATACGTTTTCGGATAACTTTTACACACGAATTCAAGCAATTTACTCCACATTTTTTTTATTGAAACTTTTTGTTTCGAGAGAAACTTCACAATTTAGTATTGCCAATTTTGTATTTAAAAAAAAATCACTAAGTTAATTACTTAAACATATTTCTTTTTTAAATGTTGGTCACAATTAATAACAAGTAAAAATATATATTTAAATATATAATTAAGTATAACATTTCGAATCATTTAATTTCGTAATGGAAATCATGCAGCAATTAACAACGATGATTTAGATTCAAAAATCATTTTAAATTCATATTATATACGTTTTCGGATAACTTTTACACACGAATTCAAGCAATTTACTCCACATTTTTTTTATTGAAACTTTTGTTTCGAGAGAAACTTCACAATTTATTATTGCCAATTTTGTATTTAAAAAAAATCACTAAGTTAATTACTTAAACATATTTCTTTTTTAAATGTTGGTCACAATTAATAACTAGTAAAATATATATGTAAGTGACCAATTGAATAACCAATCCATTAACTTTTGTTATTATTTTTGTTGAGAAAAAACGTTATAATTTATTAATTCCAATTTTGTCTTCAAAAAATAAATTTACTAATACATTTAGGCAATTTAATACACATTTTATTGAAAGTTTTTGTTTTTTTTAGAACTACGTCAAAATTAGGTTGTGCCAATTTTATATTATTTAAAAAAAACACACCAAATTAATTATGAATTTAGTTGAATTACGCAATGTTTCTTTCTATTACATTGACATTTCACAATGATTATTTAGGTCAAAAAATTCTTCTTTTTACATATAATTATGGATTTTCCAATATGAATCCCTTAACTTTTGTTTTTATTTTTGTTGAGAAAAAACGCTATAATTTAGTGATTACAATTTATTTTCAAACTTTTTGTTTTTATTTTTGTTTTGTGAGAAACTTCAAAATTTAGTAGTGCCAACTTTGTATTTCAAAAAGAAATCACTAAGTTAATTACTAAACATATTGAAATGCATTAACTTTTGTTTTTATTTTTGTTGAGAAAAAACGTTATAATTTAGTAATTTCAATATTGTCTTAACAAAAAAAAAACCTAAATTAATTACTAAAATGTTTTATTTTCAAATGTTGGTCACAATTTATAACTAGTGAAATATATATTTAATTGACCAATTGAAATACATTTAGGCAATTTAATACACATTTTATTGAAAGTTTTTGTTTTTTTTAGAACTACGTCAAAATTAGGTTGTGCCAATTTTATATTATTTAAAAAAAACACACCAAATTAATTATTGTACTAATGCCAAATTAAATTTTACGTTTAATTAGTTCATTAATAAAATTAATTAATTGAAATATTTACACATGCGAAAAATCAACATTTCGAAACACTTAATTTCGTAATGGAAATCGTGCCGCAATTAACAACAATGATTTAGATTCAAAAATCAATTTAAATACATATTATATACGTTTTGGGATAATTCGAGCAATTTACTTCACATTTTTAATTGAAACTTTTTGTTTTTATTTTTGTTTCGAGAGAAACTTCATAATTTAGTAGTGCCAATTTTGTATTTAAAAAAAAATCTCTAAGTTAATTACTTAAACATATTTCTTTTTTAAATGTTGGTCACAATTAATAACTAGTAAATTATATATTTAAGTGAGCAATTGAAATGCTTTAACTTTTGTTTTTATTTTTGTTGAGAAAAAACGATATAATTTAGTAATTCCAATTTTGTCTTAAAAAAAGAACTAAATTATTTACTAAACATATTTCCTTTTCAAATGTTGGTCACAATTTATAACTAGTGAAATATATATTTAAGTGATCAATTGAAATACATTTAGGCAATTTAATACACATTTTATTGAAACTTTTGTTTTATTTTTTTTAAGAAACGTCAAAATTAAGTTGTGCCAATTTTATATTATTAAAAAAAACACACCAAATAAATTATTAGTTTACGAACGTTGAATTACGCAATGTTTCTTTCTATTACATTGACATTTTACAATGATTATTTACGTCTAAAAATTCTTCTTTTCACATATAATTATGGATTTTCCAATATGAATCCATTAACTTTTGTTTTTATTTTTGTTGAGAAAAAACGTTATAATTTAGTAATTCCAATGTTGTCTTAACAAAAAAAAAACCCTAAATTAATTACTAATTTTTTTTATTTTCAAATGTTGGTTACAATTTATAACTAGTGAAATATATATTTAAGAGACCAATTGAAATACTTTTAGGCAATTTAACATACATTTTATTAAAACTTTTGTTTTTTTTTTGAAGAAACGTCAAAATTGGGTTGTGCCAATTTTATATTATTTAAAAAAAAACACACCAAATTAATTATTGCACTAATGCCAAATTGAATTTTACGTTTAATTAGTTCATTAATAAAATTAATTAATTGAAATATTTATACATGCGAAAAATCAACATTTCGAAACACTTAATTTCGTAATGGAAATCATGCCGTAATTAACAACGATGATTGCACTAACCAAAAAATAATATGCGCCAATTAATTAAATATGCCAATGTTTATATTTACGTTTGTCATCTGTTTGGGGATAAATGAAGCCAAAACAATACACGATTTCGCTCTTAATTTATTATTTGTTTCGTCGATGATTCATGTGTTTTTTTTGTTGTCGTATGTTAACTAATCACCAATTAGTAATATATCCGAAACAGATAAGATTTTTGCTTAATTATCCATCTTTTTCCTCTCGTTCGGATCAGGAAACGGATCGAATGATCGCCGTTGCGTAATCATTATTATCGTGGTCGTCGTTAGTCAAGGCCCTACTGATTCGCGTGTAAACGGAATGACCAATTGTCGATTCGTCAATTGAAAGCGTTAGTTTCGAAGTTTTCAGGCCTTGAATTGAGAGAGATTAAAGTTATTAAATGATAGTTCGAAGGATTTTATAATCAAAATTGTATCCAATCGCGTATTTCTATTTAAAACGTAATTTATAAAATATTAAATTTTAATCATTCAAAATCAATTTGTGTTTTTTTTTTCCTTCATTTGTTTGCGAATTCATAAGTGCCTACGATTTATTTATTAGCCTCTCGTTAGATAGATTTGGATCTGAAGTGTTTTCGCCTTCGACGTTATTTTATTGCATACTCTTCCTGAGTATCGATGATTCGTTACTAAGCCAACATTTTTTTTTCGTACAATTCTCAGGTGTCATACGAATTTCTTATCTGGTAATTGTATTTTTTATGCGATATGAATCTTGTTACGTCAATAACGTCAACTTGACTTGACATAAGATGATAACGATATTGTCGTGTTATTATGCATTCCTGTTAACAAAAAAAGTAAAGTGTATTATTATAACTTTTGATGTTGATGTTAGCTTTAAATTGTTCTCTTTTAATCTAAATACATCAAAGTATTGTCGCTTGTTACGTTTTTATTGGAGGCTTATCAAGTCTAAGACTAATCAGCTTTAATTCAGCTAATTTGAGTTCTGGCTAAAATTAGCTGTGAAATGATAAATAAGCAAAAAAATAGATTTGCAATTTTGTTATTTTTTGATACCTCCTAATCACTCATTCGTAATTTCAAACTGCGTATACTAATCAGTTTTTGTTATGAGTTTACCAACATTGAATTACGCAATGTTTCTTTCTATTACATTGACATTTTACATTGATTATTTACATCAAAAAATTCTTCGAAAACTTCGAATAATAACCACATATAATTATGGATTTTCCTAATATTTCTTATTTAAATTTATTATTTTGTATACAACTAAGTTTTTTGATAAATTACTTTTCAACTTACTCGTCAATCATCAAACATTCTGACTCATTTATTCATCGAAAATATTTGTATGTACATCAAAGATACCTTTTTTATGATAAAGTCGCAAATTTCAGCAAAACAGGGTCGTAAAACGATTTTTTTTAGACTATAAATGTCTAAGTGTAGATACACAATTTTGCTGTTTATTTTTCGACAACAATTTTATGGATATTTTTATCAACTTTTATTAATTACAATTTTAACAAGTTTTAGTTCATTTAAAAGCAATAATTTCAGTTGTGAATAATTCCAGAATTACAGAAGATTTCATTTTCTGCAAATTTAAGCAAATTTTAGTAATTCTTTTTTTGTTATTTATAGAAAACTTTGACAATTTTATAATTTGAAATTTAACAAAATTGAACAATTTTTGTAAATTTTTGTATAATTCACTTATTTCACAGTTTTTTTTTTAATTATTTATAGTTTCTCTTGGAGCAAATTATGTTTTCTTAAAGAAAACTATTAAAATTGTTTCTTTCTATTACATTGATATTTTACATTGATTATTTACATCAAAAAATTCTTCAAAAACTTCGAATAAAAACCACATATAATTATGGATTTTCCAATATGAAATTTTCCTAATATTTCTTATTTAAATTTATTATTTTATATACAACTAAGTTTTTTGATAAATTCTATATTTGATCAATTACTTTTCAACTTACTCGTCAATCATCAAACATTCTGACTCATTTATTCATCGAAAATATTTGTATGTGCATCAAAGATACCTTCTTTTATGATAAAGTCGCAAATTTCAGCAAAACAGGGTCGTAAAACGATTTTTTTAGACTATAAATGTCTGAGTGTAGATACACAATTTTGCTGTTTATTTTCGTTCATTTTTCGACAACAATTTTATGCATATTTTTATCAACTTTTAATAATTACAATTTTAACAAGTTTTAGTTCATTTGAAAGCAATAATTTCAGTTGTGAATTATTACAGAATTACAGAAGATTTAATTATCTGCAAATTTAACCACATTTTAGAATACTTTTTTTGTTATTTATAGAAAACTTTGACAATTTGATAATCTGAAATTTAACAGAATTGAACAATTTTTGTTTAATTCACTTATTTTACAGTTTTTTTAAATTATTTATAGTTTTTCTTGGAGCAAATTATGTTTTCTTAAAGAAAACTATTAAAATTGTTTCTTTCTATTACATTGATATTTTACATTGATTATTTACATCAAAAAATTCTTCGAAAACTTTGAATAAAAACCACATATAATTATCTATTTTCCAATATGAAATTTTCCTAATATTTCTTATTTAAATTTATTATTTTATATACAATTATGTTATTTGATAAATTACTTTTCAACTTACTCGTCAATCATCAAATGTTCTGAATCATTTATTCATCGAAAATATTTGTATGTGCATCAAAGATACTATTTTTTTTTATGATAAAGTCGCAAATTTCAGCAAAACAGGGTCGTAAAACGATTTTTCTTTGACATTGACGTCATGTCGTATAGTGCACTATAAACGTCAAAGTGTAGATACATAATTTTGCTGTTTATTTTTGTTCATTTTTCGACAACAATTTTATCAACTTTTATTAATTACAATTTTAACAAGTTCATTTATAAGCAAATAATTTCATTTTCTGCAAATTTAATCAAATTTTATAAAACTTTTTTTTTTATAATTTATAGAAAACTTTGACAATTTGATAATCTGAAATTGAACAATTTTTGTTTAATTCACTTATTTTACAGTTTTTTTCTTAATTATTTATAGTTTCTCTTGGAGCAAATTATGATTTCTTGAAGAAAACTATTAAAAATTGATCTGATGAAATAATTTTTGCACTAAATCTTTACGTTAACAAATCTGTAATATCTCTTGCAAATATGTTCATAAACGTTCGCTTTGGAAGAAATTGTTTATAGTTTTTAATTGATTTTTTTAATGAAAAATCGATTTTGGAAGAAATTATGTTTCGTGAAAAGTATTAAAATCAAACAATGTTAATTATTTTTAAAACTATTTTTCGCTTTTAAGATGTTGAAAATTTTCAATTTCGATTGAATTTAATTAAAAAGTGCAAAGTTAATAACTTACTCAGTGCTCATTTCGCCTTTTGTTTACAAGTACACACTATTTGTAAAGTTTCTTGCAAGTATTTTCATATACGTTCGCTTTGAATGAAATTGTACGACGTTTCGACAAGTGAATCTAATCTAAACGACAAGTACACTGTTCGAGTTATACTTATACTGGCGAATGCGTAAATATTACTTTAAATTTTATTTTGGATTTATTTATTTCGTTATTCGTTATCACAAGGAAAACAGGAATTATATAAATCGCGATAATCTTCTTGAAACGAATCGATTTCATCAAATTCCAAATCATGAAAAACTACACTCACTTGTACGTAGCTTTATCGTCGTCTTTTTTGGCCTTGTGACCGTTGGTCAGGAGGCCGTTGTTGCTATTGCCGTTGGTCAGTTTATGAATGGGTGTTGTTGCACCAACATCTTCCTGTTCGATCATCATCATCTTCAAATTATTGTTTGTTGCTTCTGAGTTGCTTCTGCGCTGCACGTTGATACCAAACTGAGTCGCTCTTTTCCACGGTCGCACTCTTTGTATGTCGCTTTCGTAATTAATAAGTAATCCCAAGCTAATCTATGCCGCTACATTTATTGCCCACTATATTTATATATCGGTTCGTTCGTTCCGTTTCAGCAACAACAAAAAAAATTACGTTTGTTTTGCATTTGCATTTCGAACAACATTCGATATTCTTTCTTGTTTTGAAGAAAGATTAATTTAGATTAGTGAGTTTTTTTTTTATATTATCGCGTGACGAATTCGTTTGATCACGTTAAAGTGTACTAATTATAAACGATGTACGGCTTTCTTTTGATAGGCTCTCATCTGCTGACTTATTTATTTCAACCGCAAATCTTGTTAAAAAATTGTCGTTTGTAAAACTGCAAAGTTTCATTGATTTCAATCGCAGAAATTTCCTGAAAACAATCATTTTCCATGTAGATTAGTAGAAAATACAACAATCTTAATTAGAATTTAAGAAAATTTACTTTCTCGATAAAAATCAATAAATAAAACGCAATTTAAACGCAAATCTTGTTGGAAAATGATCATTTATAAGACTGCAAATTTTCATAGATTTCAGTAACAAAATCTCCTGAAAACAATCATTTCCTATGTAGATTAGTAGAAAGTACAACAATCTTAATTAGAATTTAAGAAAATTCACTTTCTCGATAAAAATCAATAAATAAAACGCAATTTAAAGGCAAATATTGTTGTAAAATTATCGTTTATAAAACTGCAAATTTTCATAGATTTCAATTGCAGAAATCTTCTGAAAATAATCATTTCCCATGTAGATTAGAAAAAAAGTACAAAAATTTAGGAAAATTCACTTTCTCGATAAAAATCAATAAATAAAACGCAATTTAAACGGCAAATCTTGTTGTAAAATTGCAAATTTTCATTGATTTCAATCGCAGAAATCTCCTGAAAACAATTATTTCCCATGTAGAGTAGGAAAAAAGTAGAACAATTTAGGAAAATTCACTTTCTCGATAAAAATCAATAAATAAAACGCAATTTAACGGCAAATCTTGTTGTAAAATTATCGTTTGTAAAATTGCAAATTTTCATAGATTTCAATCGCAGAATTCTCCTGAAAACAATCATTTCTCATGTAGATTAGAAGAAAAATACAACAATTTAAGAAAATTAACTTTTTCGATAAAAATCAATAAATAAAACACATTTTAATGGCAAATCTTGTTGTAAAATTATCCTTTATAAAACTACAAATTTCCATAGATTTCAATCACAGAAATCTCCTGAAAACAATAATTTCCCATGTAGATTAGAAAAAAAGTACAACAATTTAGGAAAATTCACTTTCTCAATAAAAATCAATAAATAAAACGCATTTTATCGGCAAATCTTGTTGTAAAATTATCGTTTGTAAAATTGCAAAATTTCGTAGATTTCAATTGCAGAAATTTCCTGAAAACAATCATTTCACATGTAGATTAGAAAAAAAGTACAACAATCTTAATTAAAATTTAAGAAAATTCACTTTCTCGATAAAAATCAATAAATAAAACGAAATTTAACCGCAATTTTGTTGGAAACTGCAAATTTTCATTGATTTCAATCACAGAAATTTATGTTTCCTATTTAGCTTTTAGTGAATTATGATTCAAAATAGATAAATGAAAGTTGATTAGTCGCAATTGATGATTTCATTAAGAATCATTGAAATTCCTATGATTTATTTGTATATAAATTAATAATCCAGACTAAGATTTTAAATCAATATTGACTTTTAATATTGATATGATTTTGAAATATTCAAATTCAATTTTAATTAACTATTTCGTTATCTTTTTTACTTTTTTTTGTCTATAATGTTTCCATAATTAATCTAATCAAGTTGCAGCAGCAAAAAAAAACAACAAATGCTAGTGGAAATAAACCATTATTGATCAAGCAGTTTGTTATTGAAATTGGATTATGACAAAGGAAGTTGGAAATAACCTTGCTTCAATTATGTTTAAAACGAATTGCATTTTATGTACGTAACAAGTGAAACCTTGTGTAAAATTCCGCACGAGTTCAGTCGTCTGTTGTAGAAAAAAAAAGAATCCTTTGCACACGAGGCGGGAATGTGAGCAAAAGAAAAAACACACACACAATTGATTTAAACAATAATTAAGATTGGTAATTAATACGGAGAACTAGATTTTATGAAATTCTAATACAAAATTTTGTTTTTTTTTTGTTTAGTCTGAGGGTATTACAAGAAATTTATGGTAGATTTAATCCCTATAGTTTTAGCTTTAATTTGCATATTTAATATTAATAGTGCCATCTCTGGTTAACGAGAAAAAGATGAAAATGTAAAAAAATAAGTTTTTGATCACTAATAATTTCGTTACTTCATCTTTGACAACGAATTGCAAGAAATCCATAAGAGATGCAATTTTGCACTTTTACTCATTTTATTCCCTATAGTCTTAGCTTTAATATGCATGTTCAATATTCATGATGGTACTCCTGTATATAGAGTAATTGATGAAAGTGTAAAAACTATACGTTTCAATCACTAATAATTTTGTTACTTCATCTTTGATAACGAATTGCAAGAAATCTACAAGAGATGTAATTTTGTATTTATACTCATTTTATTCACTACAGTTTTAGCTTTAATATGCATGTTCAATATTAATGATGGTAATCCTGTATATAGAGTAATTGATGAAAGTATAAAAAGACGTTTCGATTGCTAATAATTTTGTTACATCATCTTTGATAATAAATTACAAGAAATCTATAAGAGATACTTATACTCATTCCTTATACTTATACCTATAGTTTTAGCTTTAATATGAATTATCAATATTAATAGTGCCATCTCTGGTAATCGAGAAAAAGACGAAAATGTAAAGACACTTTTCGAAGAATAAACACATTTGTAATCAAATTCAACTTTAATAGCGAATTACTAAAAATCAGTGCGAAACACATCCATGAATCTACACTCATTTTATTCCCTACAGTTTCAGCTTTAAAATACATATTCAATAATTGTTATGAGATCCGCGGTTATCGTGTAAATGTACATTTTAAAAACGTTTGAATTTGGTATAAGTTTTCCCATTATTTCATTCAATCCTCTTCGAGGCAATTATGTAGATAAAAATGGAATTCTAACGTTCCCTTATCATCATCATACGATATTCAAGTCTCTAATACTTAAGATTTCCATATCAAAAGGGAATAAATTTAAAAAAAATGGTACATAAAGATTTATTATTATCGTTTCTAATTGCAATAATATAATTAAATATTAGTGCAGATTATGGAAACCACCTAGCAACAAAAACTGAAAATGGAACAATGCAGATGTTATTCGTATTACTTTCATTTATTTACACAAGAATTATTGCATTATCTTATTGTTATGCACAATGTCGTAATTGTTTTCACTAATTGTTGTTGATATTTAAGATTAATTCCAGGGATAAATTAACGCAAATATTACGTTCGTAATCTATACATTCTCTGTATCGTTAAGGTAGGTAGAATGAAGATAACGATTCTGTCCATTCGTTATCATCATCATTTTATTTTCGTTGCACAATCACGATTTAATAATATTAATAAAATTATTTTTTTGTTTTGTTTGTTATTCGATCCGTTATCAGCAATTAACTAATGTATGCAATATATATTTTTTTTTTATTTAGAACAACGAAAATATAAATTTGATGATTAACAAAATGTGACGAGTTTGCGGTGCGAAAATAAACGCGATAAAACTTTTGTTTTAATCATTTGTTTGTGCGAAACAATTGAAGCATAATTCAGATGTTTATTAGACTTTTTGATGTTTGTTTCTTAGATAACATTTAGTAAAACGCAAATTTATATTTGAATGTTACACCAAAAT